AAACAGGTTTTTATAAAAGGTGGATTATGAGTATTTTTTACATGTTTTGTAATATTTGTTGTGACACTAATGCATGCACATCACCACATTTTTTAGCTTCATGATTCATGCAGCAATACCTTGTTACGGATTTGACAAGATGAAAGGACATGGACTGCTTAGCTTCATTTTGTAGCATACATAGGTAGCATAATGTGGAATTACAAGTGTACTACAGTTTTGAAAAAGTCAGTTCATCATCCATTGTTTAAGACATTAACTCTCCTTAGTTACATAAGAATCTATGTATTTATCCTCAATAAATCCATCCTCCCCAGGCACAAATGCATGAATTTTCTCAAATATTACTACAGGATCTTCATTGTTTGTATCCAGTACTGTAGGAAAAGAGCTCATGTCAGCTGAGAACTCCTGTTCAAACATCTCTGAGTCATTTTGTTCCAGACGACGGTGACTGTAGCTGATCAAATAGCGATACCATGTTGGGCATTTTAGAGCAGTAAAAATCAGGAGTGTAGTGCTTAGGACAAACCCTAGGACACCTGCTAGGAAGGTCCAACTTTTGCCAAGAAGTGGTAACTCTTTAAAACAGACAGGAAAAAAGTAGAGTCATCTTCCTGAGAAATACCAGCAAGAATTCTAGTATGAATTTTTTCATAGTTAGATTGAGAACACACAAAATGAACAATGACAGGGGAATTACTGAGTATCTCTAAAGCTTTAGTAGAATGGTACTGCTATGTTATTAGAGAGTCAGTAACATCACTCACACAAAAAATGCATGTACATCTCATATTTCCTAGCAATATAAATCCACCATGCATATTTATCAAAATTAAATAATAGTTTCAGAGTCAGATAAAGTTCTGGGGACATACCAAAGGTAAAATAATCATTTTTTTAAAATTTAAATTCCAAAATTGGGCTTTGGGAAAAATAAAAAAATAGCAATTGACTTCAAATTCTGTTTCCCAGGCTTAAATTTCTGTGTGGTGATGATGTCTGCACCCTGAAATACTACATCTTTTGCTTGGCATATATTTTTAATTGTATTTCTTTTATAATAAACAATTCAATAGCCTGTAGTTGCTAGTAATCTTTATTTAGAAGCTGGTTTTGTGTGCTGGCCACTGTCCTAAAATAGATTAGGCAAAAGTAAAAGAAGTCTGTGGCAGTGGTGGCTTACAATTTTTGTATGTATCTGGAGATTGATATTTCTTCTGCTTTAGCCAAAAGCAAGAAGTAAAGCATTTCAGTATGGAAGGGTGGAGAAGAACATTAATTTGCATGTAAGAAAAAAAAAAAACCCTGTCTTTACCAAAAGAAAAGCTAGAGTATTACAGAGTGACGATAGAATTAACATCAAAGTGTGAAGAAAAGTAAGGAGACTATCACTGAAATTTTCAAAGAATATGAGATGGGCACATCCTTTGCACTGAACACAGTTGAGGGCAGGAGTAAAATTAATAGGGTCACTCTTTCACATTTTAAGAAGACGGCTACATCTAGAAAGCAGTTTGGAAGAAGTAGTTGAATTTTTATAAAGATGCTTCCCTAGTTCTGTTAGGCAGAGATCTGCACAGTTATCTGAATTTCAAGCTTTTGAAATTTCATAATCAGTTTGTAGTATCATTTGAGAATTCAGGTGTGATTTTATCAGTTTTGAACACTTATTCAGTAGAACTTAACATCCGCCATAATGTGTGTACAGGCTACCAAAACCTGGAAACATGCTTGTTCTGTAGCCCTGGCTTTTATAGAAAAATAACAGTGTGCTAGAAATACAAAATAGTATGAAATCATGGAACAGCAAATCAAACAGCTTGTAAGCAGTAAAGCAAAACATCAGTCTATTACCTGCATGTGTTCCATTGTTTCCAGTGATGTTGTTTGGAGCCAGAGCTGTTAGTAAGGCACTACTTTTAAGTTTAATGGCAGAAGTGGATGTTATACTGTTTTCTAAAGAAGTTTTTTCAATTTTGCAGTCAGCTGGTTGGATAGCTGCCGTCTTGATGGAGAATTTTTTCTTGGTGTTTGGGAATGTACATACAGTGCTGTTTTCATTTTCTGTGAATGTGAGCAGTGGAAAAGCTATGAGATATTGCTAATGAATTGGAACTCTAATCTAAAAAATTTTCATGGAAAACTAATGTATTACTGCAAAACACAGATAAGTTGATGGTGGATATTATCCAGATCAGGAAAAAACAAGATAAGGCTGTTTGATGTAAACAAGTATGAAATGCTGCTCTTACCAAAACTTACCCATTGTGACATTGGAGGCAGTTAGCCATATCTGTAAATCAAGGAGGTCACAGGAGCAGGTCCATGGGTTTCCAGCTAAAATTATTTTAATCAATTTAAAAGGCAATTTTATATGAAAAGAGTTCAGGAAGTTATACTGTAGATTTAAAACTGTCAGACTTTTTAGACAAGTAAATGCATCTGAATCTAGTTGAGTAATCATATTATAGGAGAGATTCAACACTGACAGTTGATTTAATCCTGCAAATGCTGCTTTATGAACTGTGCTAATATTATTGTTGCTGATATCCAGAATTACGAGTTTTGTCAGATTGCAGAAGCTATTATTGTACAGTACAGTAATCACGTTTTCATTCAGATAAAGTTCAGTGAGGTTAGTAAAGCTTTGAAGAATCTCTTTGTCACTATGTTTTAAAGTGATATTATTATTTTTGAGGCTTAATTTAGTAACGTTTTGGAAAAACTTAGTGGGGATATTGGAGAGGTTCTTTCCAGACTCCTCACAAGTGACCTGTTGAAAAAAAAGAGAATGACAACAAGTAAATACTGCAGGGAAGTCTGGTAATGAAGGTGTCTCGGTGGTGACAATTAAGGGCATGAAAAATCTTTTGTGTGTTTTTTAATGCAAGCACTTTAAAAGAAAAGTTCTACTGCTCTTTATGCAATTTAGTTTATATTTTTCTTAATATACTCGTGGTCTGGTGATATGGGGGAATGAATCCTCCTAGTGTATACAATCATAGAATTGTTTAGTTTGGAAAAGACCTTTAAGATCA